CGATTGTATTGTTTAAAGAGGGAAAATGTATATAAAGTGAAAGTGAATATTCCTTTAGATATTTGATTATATATTTTCCAGTATCGATGTCTTCTTAGCAGGATCTGCAATGCCTACGAGTTGACTAATTTTGTCTTGACCTTTTTTATCAAGTTCAACTTTCAGCATAATCTCGGGGTTTGCGTAACAGCAGGTTCTGGTCCTATGGGTGTGTGTGCTCCACCTTAATTTACCAGTTTAATAGCTGGTTTAATTCATTCAGTTATTTCATCCGATCACTTTTTTTATACGTACTATTTATAAACTCCGGAAAATGGTTGATTTTTATTATAATAGTATTTATAAACATCAGGTTTTTATTGGCATTTAAGAATGATTTTTTTATATATTTCAGAAAGACACTAACCGTTAGGTATAGCGGACTTTACAATATTCAAACAATTTGTAATATTTTCAATTAAAATTTTTTGATCTACGCCAGGCTTTGAACCTAGAGCCTCTAGGCTGGCAGACACAACTTTTGTGATTGTATCGATAGTTAATTTTTCTTGTTTCGCGTTTTGTCCAATTTCTAAAATATCACCTCCTCCGGAAAAGCTCCTATTTGAAAGTAACGAGGGTGCGTTTCCGGTTTGACAGTTATTGTCGTCTCATGAACCACCTGTGGTGCTGCGGAGGGCAGCTGGTCCGACGTGTCAGCGTTGTAATTGACGTCCAGCCCGTTTTCCGTCCATTGTCCGTCCAAATCCCTTTCCCGACACAACTTCCTCGCCCGGCAAATCTGTAAATCGGTTTATTGGCATTACCGGTCGTTATTCCGCTTCTTAAAGGATTTGCCCTTTCGGAAATGCACACGGTTCATTCCTGAGGTGGACAATGGTAAAGATTATCCCAGCCTCTATTTGTACGCTCGTGAGAACGGACATCTTCACAAAACAAATCGGCACACTCAGATGATTTTAATTACATCCCTCTAATATTCAATTGAATAGACAGTTCTCTAAATAATGAGAAATAGTGATAAACCCAATGTGCAAAAATCGTGCAATTTCTATAAGAAATTACCATATTTAAACGTAATAATAAGCCCAAATTAGTAAGGTAAAGCCACATATACCTACAAGAACATATAGCAGTAAATATTGTGTTTTTTTTTATTAGGTCGGCAGTGTGAATCCGAATCTTGGCAGACCAAAATGAGTACGGCCAAATTATACAAATAACAATTGAAAAAGACAAACGGCGTTTGGCAAGAACACTCAGTAGCTCATGTAAGGCCAGAATTTCACTCCTAACTATGATCTACCTCGAGACCTCAGCTGTACTTTTGTTTCCATTTACATTAGATTTACATACTTCCTATGTCTGCAGGGTCCTCAACCTACCGCCTTCCCAAGAATACTGCGCTGGAAATCATAAGATCCAAAATCTCACGGTTCTCTTCCTGGAATACCTTGGCTCAACAATTTCAGCTGAATAACGATTTTTCCCTGGACAATTTTAAAGAGTGGCCACTTTTACTCTCAAAATTGATCGACCATATCAGCACCACATCACCATATCACACAATGTGTCCTTCTTGATCAAAATTCCTCTAGGTTTTTGTTGTATAAGGGCCTTAATATCAACCAACCTTTCTTGAACATAGAGCAAATTTCTAAAATTCCATCCATTCCCCTGGCTCGCTGGTTTTTCAAAGTTAGGTGCGAGTTACTTTATTTTAATTATAATCCCCACAATAGTCAATAGTCAATCTCTTTATTAAATAACCCCGAGTACTTAAATTTAGTAAAGTTTGTGATAGAAGCCTGGAACTACAGGAAAATACTAGTTTTTTTATTTCAATTATTAATGTTTATTGTATATGTCAGAAACATCCTGGTTATTGGTGCATAGTGTATGTAAATGTACATAGATATGATGTTATTATAGTTTTTTTCTCTGTTTTGCTTATTCCTTAAGAAGAAATGTGTTGTTTGTTTATTAAAAATTTATAGTCCGACTCCGACAGACGGTTAATATCCAATGCCGTTATGTGCTTGCTTGCAATTTTTCTTTCTCTTGTGTTTATCTAATAAAGTACTTCTTTCATTCATTAATGTAAGGCTACGAGTATTGAGTACTAAACAAATTGCTGAAATTCAAATTTTATTATACCTAGTACGCACAGGGATTCTTTGAGTCGATTCATGTTGTGGGGCAGAGTCGGGGCTGCGTAGATTCATTGTTGCGACGCAGCCCTGACTCTGCTCCGCGACAAAGAATCTTACCCAGACCAAGAATCAGTTCACGTTCATCAGTGCTTGTGAAAATGACAGAGGAACTAGCTCTTAAAGGAATTTCCCTTGTTTTTTTTTGCATTGTACGTAGTGAATCCAATCGGAGGTGCATTAAAAAACGCCCAAAAAGATGGTGGGTTCGACAAATATTTCACGGCGGGAATCAGCACGGGAAAAATCTTTGGACACGTTGCGATTAAATGATGGCGCAGGGTTCAGGAATTTTTTGAGGATGTCCCCGACCGATTTCGAAACCATTTTAATGAAAGTTGGTGGTCAAATTTCCTAGAAAGATACCAACTTTCGGGAATCTACCTCTCCGGCCAACAGATCAGCCTCCGGTTCCTAGCGAGTGGAGACTCGTATACAAGCCTACAAATACCTTTATACCATGTACACCTTCAGGATTTCAAAACAAACAGAACTATCCTTTTAAAGTGTGTATTTTTTTCAATTTCGGAGACGGAAACACTGGATTGTTAGGCTAAACCGTTCGTTTGGCTTTTCAATTGCCGATTTCTGTATTCCGTGAATGATACATCCCACAACACCGATGGGAATCCATGTTTTCGATAAACTCTAATGTCAACTCGGTACTCCACAACTACCTTTATACAAGACACTGTCAAAATCTTCAAGAAAAAACTCTCTACAAAGTAAACTAAACAAATGAAGCAAGAGCACTTGTTTCGATTCACGTCCGCACTGGCAAATTTTGCGCAACATTGCGTCAAAGAATCCCAAATCGGATGGGATTCAAAAGAGTCCGAAGATGCTAGCCCGCAACACACCAGATTCAACGCAACAATGAGTCGGGGCAGCCGGACTCAGGCTAGACGCAGCCGAGACTCTCCGGAGATTCAAAGAGTCGACTCTAAGAATCCCAGTGCGTACTACGCCTTAAGGACACGCTGAAAATCGGTAAACGTTTGGAAACTTGCTGTTGTTATAAACGTTTTTTCCTACCTTCCTCACTACGAGTTAGAAAAAGCTGATGTCCCATCTGGAGGTTTCTAAGTGTATGGAATAAACACCCATTAAAAAAAAAAAAACAACCTTGCTCATTAACGGCTATTTTCTTATAAGCACCTGCAGATCCATAAACTATTCGGCCCGACGTCAGGCTGAACATTATTTTTATACTTAGCAGGGCCATCTTTGTTCGGACGCTGTGACACTAAATCATGATTCCGACGACATTCTTGACATAATGGTCATCAGACTTTCAAGAGTAGTGTGACTTTGTAAATATTTCGAGAGACACGTCAAATCTGCTTCAAAATCTTGGTATCCAGCATAACACCTAAATATTTTTAAGATTTATTATCATACACCCACATCGCCTGACACACCAGAATGATGGTGCCGTCGTGCCAAAAGTACCAATTCAGTTTTGCCTTTTCTCATAACCTGACTCGACTTCCTTTGCAAGTCATCTGTGACTCTCGCTATCCCTGTTTGTACTTTAAGGCGGCCGAAGAGTGCTATCATAGGAAAAACAGTTCAGGACCCAGTGTTGATCCCTGGGCAATTCCGACCGTGAGCCCTCCAAACTATAAAACCAATGTTGCCTGCCCACAGATAACATGGGGGAGCAACATTTATTTCGGAATCAATAAGTACACAATCACGTTGAAAAGAACAATTCACTAAAAACGGCGAAACGCATCTGACAGACAAATCCTAGCGAGATTAGGCGGACCAGGATGACCTGAGACATTCCAGTTAAACGTTAGCTATAACGTATACTTACTACTGCGTATCTGCTGTGTCTTTCTGGCGAGTGGAAGTTTTGTTTTTATCATTGGAACCAATAAAAAGGATATAATCGCATAAAAAACATTAATCCACCAAATCCTGATCATAACCGGCCAAAACTATATCTCTTTTCTTGTTATTTTTCCTTTTACAAGTTAAACAACATGTATAAATAAAAAATAAAAACTCAAAAACAGTTTGGTTTTAACATATAAGTTATATTTTTGTAAATAAAAAAATAAAGGTATACAATAAATAAAAACATCGATGAAAGGTGAAAGATACAAGGCAAGTATGTAAACTGTCTTCATTATTATATATTTTTAGATAAAAATTTAACAAAAAACGCACAACGTGCTGTACTTACAAAGTCCATACAAGCAATGAAATGAACGATTTTTTTTAAATATTACAAGTTGTTTATGTTTGTCCTTTGTGATCTTAAAAGTTCATAATTTCTGTTATTCTATTTTTTATGCTAAATGCTTTGTTTTTGTTTTTTACATCTAGTTAGTATCTAGTCTCGTTCAAAGTTTACAGTATTTAACTCTTTAATATTTGAAATATTTGTTTTATAAATAAATTTTCAGGGTTAGATGTAAAAAGACAGGGGAGACTTAAAATTTTTATTTTGCCCATTATGTACACATAAACATTACGGCATCGTTATAGTTAAGCTTCAGTTAAGCTTAGATTTACACAATATCTACAATATCTAATATATTTATATACCAAATTACAATATATATATTTATTTTTATACACAACGTTACAGCAGAATTTGCGCTGCAGTAAGTGTCTATTTAACAAGTTTATTTTTTCGGCCGAGATGCACATGCCGAAAAAGCGCTCAATCTGAGCCACGCCACGCCGCTCACAATCGGCTTTCAGCTGGACGAAATTAATTGACGAATTGTACAGGGTCGGAGGTTAACTGTTGTGCTACATGAAAGTATTTGAGTGCCTATGATTTTATGATACAATAGGGAGTGATTACGTATGGACTAGAGCTCCCAAGAAAGAAATTTAATAGAGAGAATTTTTGAAAAGTAGATCTAAACCCGTTTTGTGACGTTTGTTTGAATCACAGCCAGCACAAAGAATAATAGAATGATACCATGAAGGTCAAACCCTTCAAAATTGACCAACTTTTACGACAAGTTGTTAGGACAAATAGAAAAAAAACTACGTATTTAAAGCATTGGTGAATATGATTCTATTGACGTCAAAAAGTATGCAAACACGAACTACAAGAATAAACACTGATATATGAAGGACAGAAGAATATTTTAAAAGGTAAAAGATTTTCTAAACTGTGTTTATACAGGCGATACTACTCATTAGAAAGTAATTTTAATTCCGATATTCTAATTGACGAAACCAGTTATTTATTAATATAAGAAATCAATTTTTTGGTATTGAAGGTAATGTGAAAGCCGATTTTTGTTGCGCACCCATCACAAAAAACCAGAATGAAAAATCTTTAGTGGGATTTGACGGGGCGACACCTTCGTGACAGGTGCAGAGGACCAGCACCTGCGAATAGGAGGAATGTTGAGGGACCAGAGCTCCTTTCAGTAGGCCTTAGGGTATCACAAACCTTACGGATATCATAGTTTACGTATGTATAAATTAACTATGTACAAGAGGAATAAATTAGGCTACGTGTCCGTTGAAGGGCACCGTGATTGCACTGATAAAGTCCTTCTGTCTGTCTTGGTGTCACGAAACTGATGTGTGGTGAGGGCTGAACGGCCTGTGGAGCAACGTCTGCTGAAGGGGAGGCGAAGGTGCGCCCAGACTTATGCTTGAATCCGAGCTGGTGGACATGGTGCTTGGTGGCCGTGGTGGTAGTGGGCCGCCGTGAGATGCTGCCAATTGCGCCGCTAACTGCTGCTGTTGCATCCTGAAACAAAACGAGAAGATGTTTAGGAAATTTAAAAAAATTTAAAAAAGTAATAATATAAATCCGTTTTAGCGTTGAACGTGACTGCTAGTTTGGCACATTTAGAGAAGAGCAATTTTTTTTCTAAATCTTTTATGATAATCTGCAAATTTCTCATTAGAATATATAATTTGAGGATACATATACGAAATATTTAACTATTTTTAATCGATATTATTCTCCTATTTCTCATCACTAATTCAACTTCACTAACTATTTCTCAGAAAGGTGGACTCGGGGACATTTCCGTTTGAGACACCTAATGGTATGGCATGGATCTATTTCTGTGTTTTCCCATGTGTTTCAGATCCTTATGGTGGAAATGATAAATGGAGTGAGTGTGTTGTTCAATCTTTTTAAAAAGATAGTTCCTACTCAAAGTAAATTGTTTTCAATCATCCGGATTTCGAGCTTACAGGTCATCATCAGATTGAAGAAGTTCTACAACCACTCTCGACATGGATTGCAAGATTGAACACCCGATCCCCCGACCATCGCGACGTTCCAATGATCAACTGATTTTTAATGCCGCTCAATGATCGACGTGCGGTGGTCTAAAAGGAGTTACACGGAACAAACGAAAATTTTATGATCTTGCAGTTCACCGCTGTACCTTAACAACATTCCTTATAATTAATTATTCTTTTTAGGTAAGGTCTTGGTGGAGATGAAAAATTTAGTGATACGAGCGGGTTGGTTATACCCCAATAGTGGTGCCTTATTGGGGTATACAGAAGGATCTCAAATGGTGTGGCAGCAGGAGTCAAAGGCCCACGTTTTGAAATGTCTCTTTGCTGAAGGTTAGCCCATTATTCACGAAGAGTCCTTTCAATATCATGGAGTGTATCAGGAAGTGATGGACGTTCTTTTGAGGTTATCCCATAAATGTTCGTGAGGTTCAAGTCTGGAGAACGGGCTGGCCAGGCTAAGAACCCTTGGCATACTTTCTACTTGTTTGGAAGTGTCTTTTTGCTCAAGGTTAACCCATTCTTCACTAAGAGACCTTTCAACATCGTGGTGTGTAGTGATGGACGTTCTCTTATACGTCTTTTGAGGTTATCCCATAAATGTTCGAAGTGGTTCAAGTCTGGCTGGGCTAAGACTCTGATGTAATGCTGTTGAAGGTACGTTTGTTTTATGCGAGCGACATGTGGACGGGCATGATCGTGCATTAGAATAGGATTGTCGCTGATTTCATCAAGGATAGGCAACGCATGATGTTCCAAAATTTCATCCACATAGCGAAAGGCCGTCAAAGACTCTTCTCAAACATCAGACAATTAACTCTGTGCGACTCTCCATTGAAATTCCTGTCCACACCATCACTGAGCTACGTTGAACAGGTTGGCTCCGGCAAAAATTACAGGCTTCGTATCTTTCATTTCTCCTTGTCCGCACTCTTTCACGCCCACCTGGAGATCATCTGTAAAAAGTACTGCGAACCAATCGTCCAAAGACCAATAGTTGTTCTCGAGGAAATGGGAGTCGTTCAGTGTTCTCCTCACTTCTGGTCCTATTACGGGGCGAAAAGCCATCAGTCCATACTGATTTAATCTTTTTCGAGCAGTGCGTTCAGAAATTTGGACATCTCGAATTTCCTGGAGCTGATGAATCGCTTGAACAACACACAGTAAGCAACAGCACAGTAAGGTGCCGATTTCGCAAAATTCTCAAAGTCCCAAAACGGTCATCCTGTAGTTCTGGTTGATCTGAAGCGGCCAAACTTGATATCTGTTTTTTGGTGAATTTTTGATCAATCGGCCGAAAAATACAGCCGTTCAGAAGGGAAGCAATTAAACTGTTGTTGACATTCCTGACCCTTCCCTTGAAAGTGGAAGGGAAAAGGGACAATGTTCCCAAACCCCACCCGACTTTCGCTGCATGCAAATGAGCGATGGCGCCCCTTCGGGCCCACCCTCAGGCGGTGCGCAACAACCCCGAAAACTTCCTGTTTACTTGAAAACGTAACCAATCCCCCCGGTCGAAAAACGATACACCTTTTTCTCGGATTAACATATAGATTATCGGCAATTTAGAAACAAATCAGACGCGTGTGATCGTAAACAAACAAGGCGGAAGACCCGAAAGAATTTATTTTCCACGGACCTCGTCCCCCGGGCGAAACGTTCACCGGTGATCTTCCAATTAAATTGTCTTTTCTAGTTCGATCGAGATGAATGGATTCTTTGCGCATAAATAATTTACTACATGCAAAAATGACGTTTTAAATTTTACCGGTGCACATTTGAATATTTCACCCATGATTTATAGTTGAAACAATAAAAATCATTGTAATTTAGAGAACTACTGGTTCAATTCGACTAGCTAACATAGAAATATGTTAAAAAAGATGTTTTATTTTCAAATGATTTTATTCACCATAAGGCGATTCATACCACACTTTTGTCATAAATTAATATTTCACAATAATATTTACAATAGAGAAATTTAAAAAAAATATCCATATATATATAAAATAGCAAAAATTAGAAGGAATATTGATCCATTATATTTAGTGGTCTAACTGACCAAATTAATTCTTTCAATTAATTTTTTATGTAAGGTCTTGGTTTAGATTAAAAAATTTAGTGTCACAAGCGGGCTTCGAACCCCCGACCTTCAATACGCCGCTGCTCTAACCACTTGAGCTATCGTGACTTCGATCTAACTTATGTGATGAACATTCCAGATGGACACTGGGCCAACATCGGTACTGGATGTTCGGAAAGAGCTATTTTCCTCACTGAAGTTGGCACAATGCCGCTTTTGAGTCAAAAACCCAATAAGTAACTCAAAGCCGGTTCTGTAAGTCAAGCTTTGTAATTTTTAAAATTGATTAGTTCGACATCTCTCGATATTTAACACCATTAGCACAGCTTCCACTGAAGATTATCATACAATGTTTTATAACATTTCTTATACGAGTTCTACGGTGTGATAAACCTGTTGTTTCATCGTTTACCACCATTATGGTCCGCCTGTCCTGGCCTGTTTTGGTCTGTAATTTTGGCTTATTGACACGTTCAAATATCAATTTGGCAGGATTTAATAGGCCGTTTTTCCAGGTTCCCAAGAGACAGTTGTGGCTACAATCGTTGATTTAGGTCGTTTCGCAAATAGTATGTAACATCCGTGATGGATGTGAAAAGTTGCTCTCGACTCGACTCGTCTCGTGCCTTATATTAATTGAAGTCTGATAAATCAAAGGTTCATTACTTAAGTCGCCTACGGACCGTTACACAATGTCTAATTACGACCTGGTTGGGGTCGTGGCACAAAGGAATATCAGTGTCTTAATTACTCTAATGATTTGGTTAAAAGAAGAAAACGTGATGTAATCTGAGTGAATGAGGTTGATGAATGGAAGTATCATGTCCCGAACGTGAACAATGGCCGAAAAGAGCCGTATTGTCTCGCTTTTATTGCTTGTCTCTATGATGAAAAAGCTCCTAATAAGACTTCGATAACTAGAACGATTTTGAACCAATGTCACAAGCTACGGAAGTTGAAATGAAGCGCTGACTTGTATTCCGGGAGATCCCAGCTGTCGTTTATTGACGGGGGTCACGCCCATGGAGAAATCCCAAATGGTGGAAGAGCTTAAAAAGTACTGTCGCACAAACGTTAAATTGCAACAAAATTTAAGCATTTTGTATGAAAAATAGACCAGCCTTTTATTCTAACCCATTAGGCATGTTAAAACATTCATTAACAATTAAAAAACATCTTGTTTCTTAAAGAAATAACATTATCCCACCGTTTAGGGGTTCTAATTAAGATGTCTAAAATGTACTTTATAACCTTTCTAATTTAATTAAGAAACGCCTCAACGTTTTCGTTTATTCCATAAGACCGAGGTGCAACCGTTGACCCTGTCGGTCACGTACATAGGGTTTATTAAGTTATAACCAGGGCGGAGGTAATAAAGTAACTGTCCGCCCTGAATTAACGCTATATAAATAAGAACCAATGCTAATTATCTTCAGGTGGTTGTAATCGTCTGGTATTTATTCATGCCCGTCGGCCATACGAGCCGTTTTACGAGCACGTGGCCTCCATTTTAAAAAGAAACGATGTTTTCACTTCTTGCTAAATTGACCTGTGCTAATAGGCAGTTTAATAATTATTAAATACAATCCATTTGTCCTATTTGTCTAAGCACGTTCTGTTTAGAAACGAAAGATTGGATTTTCGGACTTGATGTGGCATCGAAAAGCTTGTTTTCGTTCTTTAATAACAAAAAATAACATGTCGATTTTCCCGCGCAGGTGCCCCTTATGCAGAGAAAAGTTGCTCGATGTGTCCCACATACTGAAAACACGTCATGCTTTGGCTCCCTCAAGGAGCGTGTAGGCATGCCATTCAATCTGAAAATGATACTCCAGCACTGCAGCGGGTTTCTGGGTTCCCTGTTCCGCTTTATGGGGGAAATTGGGTTTTTTTAAATTTTATATAATATGTCTTATGTGTTGTGTGTCTATATGTTTTGTCTGAGTGCATGTATTTATCAGCGTGAATGGCAAGGGGTGAGGGTGAAATATAACGTCATCATCGCCCCTCGAATGTTGAGAGCGTAAGAGTGTGTGTTCGGGGTCGATGGCGGAATATTAATAAAAGTACTCCATCGACCCCAATGTAGATTAGTTTGAGTATAGGTCGGTGGAGGAATATCAAGTACTCCACCGACCAACCGGATTAAGTGTACTGTATGTATTTAGGTGTATGAATGTATTTATTTGTATGAATGTAGTGTTTATGTATGAATGTTAGTGGGTAAACTGAACTTAGTTGGAGGCTGAAATGACCTAAATGTCGGAAGCTCCAATCAAAAAAAAAAAAAAAAACTCGATTTTTACCTCAAAAAAAGAAGAGAAAAGGTCGGGAAAAAATTATTATCTACTGTTTAGTTTCTGACCGTGACACATGGATGATAAAGATAACAACATTGTCACAAACCTTTA